CGCCCGGCTGCAGGCTTACGTTGGGCACGAAGCCAGGTTCCACCTTCTTTTCGCTGAGCTCGGCCCACAGCACGCCGGCCAGCGCCGGGGCCGCCTGCACATCCCGCAGGCTGGACACGCGATGCTTGGGGTCCACAGTGAGCAGCTGGAACAAAGCTCCCGTCAGCTGGTGCCCAGGCCCAGTCCTGCCGGCACTCGGCCCAGTGTGGTTCCCCCCGGACCCGCCAGCAGCCGGCAGCCGCAGCCTGGCTAACTGCTCCCCTGAACTGGCTCAGAGCAGAGACAGGACAGGATCAACGTCACAGCCCCAGGACCTGCACGCCTGGCCAGCGTCACAGCGGCTGGGTCGCCCCACACGCCCAGACCAGGGATGCCGTCCGAGGCTTCCCGGCTTGGCAAGTGTGCAGCTCATCCCCCTGCCCCACCTGGGTCTCTGGGAGCCGAGGTCCCACCTTATGAGCCACCAGGGCAGCTGTGGACGCAGCTGCGTGGAGTGAGAGCTGCATTAAGGCCCATTTCAGGGGTGGGGGGGCCATACTGGCTTGGCTACAGCTCCAGGGCCAAAGGTCTACAGCCCAGGGCCAGGAGACGGGAGCTGGGAGTGGGCCGGCCACGTGCGCCCGGCCCGCCCTCCCACACCCGTCCTGACCCGGCCTCAATGCACCGGTGTGTCCGAGGTGCGGCTGTACGAGTGGAGAGCTTCGCAGGCCAGCCAAGGAGCAGCCTCCAGCCCAGCCTGGGACACCAGCGGGAGGCACTCGGACCACGACACCACAGCCCCAGGTCCCTGCCAGGCTGAGGTGCCCTGGGCTACTGCAGATGCGTGTTCAGGACCTGGGGTGTGCAGGGGGTTCTGGGATCCTCTCTGCTTGCTCCCAGTGGGTGGGCTGGCCAGGCCGCTGGCAACGGGCAGTGGCTTCCTACTTCCAACAACAGGAGAGGGGCAGAGGACGCTACAGCAGAGCGGGCCCAGCCCCCGCCCCCCCCACCAGCACACACGATGTGGCCACCTGCCCCAGGGTTAACTCTCCGCACCTGAGTTTGCGCAACTTGAAATGGAACCAGGCTGTGAGGATTAGATTAGATCACAACACACCTGATTCCACTCACGCCAGCGCGCACGCAGGCCGAGCTACCATGAGGACAGAGCTGCCGCCAGGCCAGGCCGGGAGCCTGGCCGGAGAGAGACGCGAGACACAGAATGCAGGAACCAGGGGCCCCCCCAAGACCAGGGTCTCCACGCGGCCCGCCCTCAGGACAGGATGCGCGGTCCAGCCCCCGTGACCGGCCGGCACTGCACTCCAGGTGGGGAGGCGGGAGGGAGCTCACCTTCCGCAGCAGGGCCACCATCTCCTTGGACCAGGTGGGGACATACTGGACACTCACAGTGCTGAACAGCTGCACCAGGGAGTCCACGGCGTTGCTCGAGTGGATGTCGTAGGGCCTCTGGGGCAGGGCAGGCAATGCTGCCCTGGGTGCCTCCCCAGGGCCCCAGCCCTACGCTCCCCACACCCAGGCAGGCACAGGGAAGAGCTGCGAAGGCAAAGCCTGCGCCGCAGCCAGAAAAACGGCCAGAAACGACCGGAGAGGCCGCCGGTCAGCTGGGAAGGGAGCCCAGCACCCCAGAGGTCTGGGCCCAGTGGGTCTGCTAGAGGGCAGAGGGGTGACCTTCCTCAGGGCAGCGGCCAGGGCCTCAGAGGCCCCCACAAGGGGTGGGACAGCAGCTGGAGCCCAGGCAAGGCCACTCCAGGGACCCGCTCGCACAGGAACCTCCCAGGAAGCCCGAGGGGGCAGCCCTGCTGGACAGTCCTCCGCCCGGCCCCGCTCTGGCACATCCTCACTGACTGCGCAGATACCCCTGAGCACCCGGGGGCGGGAGCTGCCTCATCCCCCCGGCACAGGGGCCGCACCCAGCTGGGGCCTGGGGGCCGCATACCCATCCACGTAGCAGCTCGTAGGCCATCACGCCCACCGACCACCAGTCCACCTCGAAGGAGTAGCCGGTACCACCGTTGACGAAAGACTGGAAGATCTCCGGAGCTTTCCAAAGGGGGAGGGAGCAGCTGAGCACCCCGACGGCAGGTCCAGGACCACAGGCCCAGCTGCCGCAGGCCCAGGGCTGGCCCCACCAGGCCAGGCCCGTGACCAGGCTGCCCCAGAGCCAGACTGGGAAGCCGCCCACGGCAGTCGGTTTGCCCCTCCCCCAACCGCCTGGTTCAGACCCAGGTCCCACAGCCTGCCGGGGGCGAGGGCCCTCTCGCTGTCCCACAAGTCACAGCCGCCACTGGACTCTTCCGTACGGCTCAAGCATGGCTGCTCCTAACGGCCCAACCCTGTACCTTTAGGGAAGCCGCCCGACCCCTCCAGCCACAGGGCAGCGCGGGCGGCGGGCTCACCCATGTAGGGCTTGGTCCCGGCCAGCGCGGTAGCCCTCTCGCCATCCTTTATGATGGTGGCAATGTTGAAGTCGGTCAGGTGCGCATGTCCTGTGAGGAAGGAGGACGCCGTGTCTGTCCCACGGCTTGGGAACACGTCCTGCGGGCAGGGCCTCGCGGCACGGGGGTCTGCGGCCCCACCTTGCTCGTCCAGGAGAATGTTGTCGGGCTTCACATCCCTGTAGGAAGAACAGGAAGCGGGGGGATGAGTCCAGACATTCCGCAGGGATGCGGGGTCCCTCGAGGGCCCCCCAGCAGAGCCCGGGGAGGGGGCTGGGGCCTAACACCCCCACCCCGCCCCACAGCCCCGGCAGAGCTGGGCGACACCAGCCACCGTAACTGTTGGGGAGCTGCCTCCAGCCTACCTCCTAAGGCCGGACAGTGGGGAGAACACCCAGCACTGGACGCTGAAGGGTGCCAGAGGCCCCAGAGGACAGCAGTCCCCCACCCGGGGTCCCCAGGCCGGCCCCTCTCCCAGAGCCCCGGCTGCACAGAGCTGTTGCTTTGGGGTCTGAGGCTTCATCAACCGGCCTCCAGCCTCGCCTTACTCCCTCATGCTCCGTAAAGTCCGGTGCCTGAATCAGGACCAGAGAGCGGAGTCCCCAAGGCAGATGCAGAAATTACGTCTATTTCACTTTATAATACTCCACGTGGGGTTTTTTTTCTGTTGTTCTGTGGAGGCAACCTTATCTTCCTAATTTCATCTGCCTTCGGGTAATGTTACAATCAGTTTGAATTCACCAGGGACGTGGCAGTGGGCAAAAGGGCACCTGCCCAGCAGTGGCCAGGACCCTGCAGTGGACCTGACCAGGTGAAGGCCACCCCGATGAAGGCCAACCGTCTCCGTGCCGGCCTCAGCTGGGGCTGCTCAGACACGACCCAACCTCAGGTGGACGTCACCTGTGCAGCTGGGGGGCTGGCCTGGGAACCAGGCACCGATGGCCCAGGTGCCACACCTGGGGGCAGGTCCGCAGTCAGGCATGCGCAGGCAGGCCCCCCGTCAGGCGTGTGCGGGGAGGCCCCCCATCAGGTGTGTGCACACCTGTGGATGATGTGCTGACTGCGCAGGTAGTCAAGGGCCAGCGCCATTTCACAGATGTACAGCCTCACGGTGTCCTCGGAGAACTGGACGTTCTGCTGCAGGTGGTAACGCAGGTCTCCACCCAGGAGCAGGTCCACCACCATGAACATGTCCTCCTCATCCTGGAAGGAGTACCTGTGGGCGCCGGGGGAGGGCCTGGCACGCGCACGGCAGGGGCCGGATGCACGGCTGCTGCCATGCCTGATAAGCGTCCTCCTCAAGGGCCCTGGCCCCAGTACCACCCCTCAATGGGCACCCCAGAGCGGGGTCCTGCCCAAGATGCTGACTCCACCTCTGCTCAGGGGCTGCCCGGAGCCAGGACCCTCGGGAAGGACAGAGGGGCTGGTCCCGGCGGGAGGCACTCGGCTGGGGCAGAGATACCGGTGAGGGGCCAATAGAGAGTGGAACACAGCACCATCTCTGGGCCATTTCCCTGCTGCTCTGGTTTCCTATTCTCTAAAAAAAGGGGTTAAAAAATCTAACTTCGAGGGTCATTAAAGAAGAAATTGAGACAGTGAGGCAAAATGCTCAGGCAGTGCTGGGCAAGGGGCCAGCTTCTAACAGCCAGCAGCTGTGGTGATGGTGATGAGGTGATGGTGGTGATGGTGGTGGTGATGTTGAGGATGGTGACGGGGATGAACATGATAAAGAAGAAGAAAATAGTGATGAAGATGACGATGAAGATAGTGGCAGTAACAAAGCAATGCTTTAAGGGTCCCCTTCCACTTTGTCATTTATTCTGTGAGCTCTCAGAGGTAGCTCTTACTGTTAATCAGCAGGCTCTTCTGAGAATAAAGCTACAAATAACTCATTTTTCATGTGCTGTTCCTCTCCCTGACCACCAGAAGCCACCCTGTCGTCATTCTCAGGGGCCAGTGGCCTGGGGAGGGCGGTCAAGCTGGGGCCTGCAGTGGGGCATGCAGATAGGACCACAGAGCAGAGAAACTTGGATGCCAGGCTCCAGGACAGGCCAGGGTCCTCGAGAGAAGTGGGCAAGAGCAGGTGTCCTCCCACCCCTGGAAGCAAGACGGCAGCGGCCCCACTGCCTGGCCCTGGGACGGCGGGAGACGCCCCCTGGTGGGCCGGCCTCTGGGGGTGGGGATGCTGGCCACTGCGGGAGGGGGAGGGGAGGAGAACTAACTATGACTGCAGCCCGCAGCCCTGAGTCAGCCCTGCAGGGGCCTCTGCGGAGCCCATCCCCCGACTTCAGAGGAGGGGACTGAGGGAGGGAGGCTGGGGCACCGCCTGCAGCAGGGCAGGGAGATCTGGTCAGGAGCCTGTGCTCCTGATGACTAGGCCACACGGCGGCCCAGGGAGAGGCCGGGAGGGCCGAGGCCCCCACGGAGGGGAACCCTGGGTCTTCCTCCTTCGTGAGATGCCCCAGCACCAGCACTGCGGCCGAGTGTCGACCACAGATGGCAGCCTGCTCCCCGAAGGCCGCAAGCCAGCCCTGCCGCAGTGAGGTCACTCCATCCCACTGACCCACCTAGGGGCAGTCACTGCCTTCCGGGATCAAGAGCCTGCCCCACCCTGGCCGCTGGGTGCAGGGCCACGTTTAAAGGGTGCTTGGTGTGTGGACACCCCTATCTTTAGAGCCATTGTCCCAGGCCACTGGGTGCAACCACGGGGTCCAGCCCTGCCCCCAGCCCCTCTAACTGCCTGAGACCTGACAGCCATTAGGGCAGTAGGGACACCCCAGGATGCAAGGTGCACCCCGTGTGCAGAGGGCAGGCAGCGAGGAGCCCCGGGATGAGGGCCCTTTCCCCATGCCCCTTCCTCCCGGCCTGGGCAGCCCCAGGCTCCACCACGCCCCAGGGCCTTGGAGGCCTTGGTCAGCGACTTCTGCCTCCACCCAGGCTCCTGGGCAAGGCCACGCCCCAGGGCACTGGATGGTGAGCAGCTGGAGAGCCGAGAGGACCAGCTCAGGGGACCAGCCCAGGGGCAGGAGAGGAGGGAGCAGGGGGCGCCCTGCAGCAGGAGGGGCCGGCCTATCCTACTCCAGTCCCACAGCTCCGCGCCGCCCCGCACCAGCGCACCAGAGGTTCACCAGGAAGACGTGCTCGATCTCCTGCAGGATCTCCAGCTCCCGAAACACGTTGCGGACCTCGTCCCGCTCGATGCACTGCTGCTTGTTCATGTACTTCATGGCAAACATCTTCTCCGTGTCCCGCTTCTGCACGATGCACACCTAGGGGCCGCGGCGCGTCAGCACCGCCAATGGGATGGCACGGGGCTGGTGCAACACTCAACCGGCCGGTTTCACATCTGGGGCAGGACAAGTCTCCTGCACACAGGCACCTTCCAAAGGAGATGGGACCAGCCCGAGAGCCGGGGTGGGGGAGTTCCCACGCCCCTCCCCAGCCCAGACCTGGACGCCCCCTTCCCAGGGCTCCGGGCAGCTGGCTTGGAGGGTCGCTGGGGAGGGAACGAGAGGACCCCTGCAAGCCCGTGAACGAGAGCAGCTATTCTCACCCAGCACGGGCCATCGCCCCCACTGCAACAGGGCCGCTCCCAGTGACAGCCTCTCTGCACAGCTCATATCCCAGCCCTCCGAGAGCAAACTGCGGCGTCGATTAGCAATGCTGACACTGTGAACACAGTGCTAATTGCCTGACAGAGGGATCAGGGCGAGGAGAGCAGCGAGAAGAACAGAGCAAGGCTGAGGCTCAGGCTGGGGTCCCTCCTGGCCAAGGAGCAGCTGTCAAAACCGGGACAGAGGTCTCCAAAGGGAACCGGGTTAATGCACAAAATACTGGGCTGCAGAGCCAGGGCCGTGCCCTTCATCCCAGTGGAGAGACCCCTCCAGAATAGGTAACCCTGAGCTCTGAGTCCCCACCGTCTTCAGTCTCCAGATCTTCAAGGAGTGGGAGCTGGGGGCCCAGAGGAAGTGGAAGATTCTGGAACTGGAGGTGGGCAGAAGACTGTCCCAGGGCCTCACCCAAAGGCAGGTGGCCTGGAACTGACCAGACATCTCAGCAGGCGCCAGAATCTTGGGCCAAACCTGCTGGAGCCAACCCTTTGGTGAAACCCGGTCTGTCGTGCAGGGATGCACCTTAAAGACGAAGGTGGCTTTTCCAAAGTTGAAAAAACTATAGCAAACCTTCAGCAACCTTGACACCCAACTCTCACAGACACGGGCAAGCAGGTGCAACAAAACATCACACAGACACTGGAGCGACGTCTGTGAAGGCTGGTAGTGGCGTATGGCAATTTGTGAAACGCCAGGTGGAAAGGCCAGCCTGCATTATTTAGCGCAAACAGTGTAGAGATGAAAACCAACAGGGGCAGAAGCCAGACTCGGCCTCCGGCAAACAGAGCAGCTAAGCCGGGGTGGGGGGGGTGGCACACCGAGCCCCCTCCCTCACCTGTTCCTGCAGCGTCATCGTGAGGGCATCTGGCGGCAGAGGCTGGAGGGTCACTCCAGCTCCAGGCCCACCCGCGGACTTCTGCACACCCCACGTCCCCCAGGACGGTGATCTTCGCAGCACAGCTGCGGTTTCCAGGTAACTCCTGCTCAGCCCCGTGCTGCCCATGGGCCGCATCCAGACCCCAAGGGGAAAAGCTCGCAGGGGACGCCCCTAGGCACAGGGAGGGCATCTCCCACACCTGAGCTGCACCCCTCCGAGCCACCCGGCCCACCCCTGGAACCCACCCGGGGAACAAATGCCACCTGGGGCCACACAGGCCACCAAGATGCCCGTGGGGCCCTGTGTAAAACTGCCCCGGCCTGGGCTGCCGTCCGGGAAGACCCCAGCCTCCCAGGGACACGGTGGGGTGGGAGCTGAGACCTGCATCGCTCAAGCCTCCAACGACACCCTCCCAGTCTCAACGCGGCGAATCGCGGCCCCTCCTCCTTCTCTGCGAGCACCAGCTGGCCGCAGCGCACGTGCAGAGGGGAGCCCTCGGGACAGCACGGGCTTCACTCAGCTGTGCCTTCCTGAGTCTCCAGTCGCCCAGCCCGGCCTGAGCACATCGCCCAGAAGAGCAGACCAACGCGGAGAAGACAGAGGCTCAGTGCTGGCGGTCAGTAACCGTGTCTGATGACGCAGTTACACCAGCCAAAGCCAAGTCACCTGCTTGCCACGCAGCTCTCCACACACCTTCTCGGGTCTCAGAGCCGGTGTCAGGGTTGGGTGGGGGCACCGGAGTTCCCCTTCCTGCCAGCCAGAGCACCAAAAGGCCAGGAAGCTGCTGGCAGGGCCCCAGAGGGACAGGGGGCCACCCACCGGGGCTCCTGGACAAGGTCACAGGAGAAGAACCCATTTCTGCCCACAGAGGTACACACTCAGTCCCCTGGGAGCTCTGAAGGCCAGGGCCTGCCCCGGAGCTGGCCACCCAAGCTCCCTGGTCATTCCGTCACGCGGCAGGCGAGAGCTACCCCAACCCCAGCTGTAGGGAAAGGCCCCGGAGCCCTTTTAAGAGCAAGACTCCAGCCTCCCCTCCCACCCTTGGCCGGGAGCTGGAAGGCCTGGCTGACAGGTGCTGCCTTCGCAGGCTGCCAACCTGGGCATGCAAATGGCCTATCAGACAGACATCAGTCAGAAACACAAGCAAAATTCTGCCGCTGTTGAGATGAAGGTCCCCAAGTCCCTGCCAGAGAGCCCTGATGCAGAAACCTGAAGTCCCAGAGGAATATCAGAGCCTGTTCTGACTGATGGCCAGCCCCAGGCCACAAAGACCCGGCCCCCGGCCACAGGGACCCTCCCCGATCACAGGGACCCTCCCCTGATCACAGGGACCTGGCCCCGAATCACAGGGACCCGACCCCTATCACAGGGACCCAGCCCCGGATCACAGGGACCCAGCGCCGGCCAGAGCAATGCCACCCACTCGAGTAGACACTGCCCTTGGGGCGGATGGCCTAGAAAACAAAGATTCTGCGTTTTCTCCAAGTAACTTCCTGTGCTCCATGTTGTCTTATCAGGTCTTTGATTACTTAGAAGAGCTGTGCCTTCTCAATATTAAAAGAACTAAGCTTTTTCCCCTAAAATATGTGATTTCCTGTATTTGCCTTTAAAGTCTTTGTCACTTTGGTTCAATGGCTAAATACTGTTTCACGATGACCTGCAATCTTCCTTAACTGTGTTTCAACCTTTCGACATTTTTACAAATGTCCGAAAATCAAATTTGAAATAAAGTATTTTTTGACCCCGAACTAACTTTGGGATTTTCAGGAGGGCCCCTGGAGAATCTCAAAAGATTTGCAATTGTGCCTTTATATAAAAATAGAGAGATTAAACCAGTGAGGCTTATCTAACATCCTAAGTTACACAGAAAGCATTGCCAAATAAAAGCTGGTGATAAGCCTGCTCTAGCTTATACTGGTGTGGACACAGGCTACTTACAGGCCAGTGTTTCCAGAATTAGATAGGATGTCCAGAGATTCTTCAATGTCCTCACTGTTCATGCAATGTCACAATTCCAATGATTACTGTAAACATCACGCGGCACAGAACCCAGCACCTTCGGTGTCAGTTGCGTCACTTCTGCAATGAACTCGTCAGATCTCTGACCGTGGCTATTTTCAGCCTTCGGTCATTTACAGACACTTACTGTTCTGCGCTGACACCTTCCCGGACACTTTTACAATCCACCATAGACAACAGGGCCTCCCCTTCAAAAAGCTCACGGAAAGGACTCTGACGACGACCCTAGAGCACAGGCGTCTGGACGCTTTATAATCAGACCACTGGCCTCGATGAGACCTCCTACAACCCTGACGGGACCAAGGGTGGGTTCATCAAACTACTAACCCAAGATCGAGCAAAAGAAGGCCTAAATAAGCTCAGGAAGGTGGTCACCATTTTCACGACTTCTGTTTGGAGCACTGCTGCTTCCTTAATGTTTTGTTTTTCAGGCTTAAGAATTTCTTTTTGTCTCTTTCTCAGGCTGTTGATGGCTTACAGCAACCTGGCAAATCACACCTTCGTAAACAGAATCAACACATTTATCTTTCCTCCCAACCTGATCCCTCCAAAACTTAGAAGCCTTTGTTAAAGACTCTATTTTCACAGGTACAGTTTTTACACAAGGCCAGGAAGAATACGTTCTCCTGGTAACGGGGCATGATTTATAACAGGGGTCATGTTACCAAGACTCCGACGGGAAGGTCACACTTTAAAATAACGCGATCAGGTGGCTCTAGGCATTTTCACCGTGAGAATCTTCGCTTCAGCTGGCTTCGTCGCACAACTAATCAGCCATAAGACAATTCTGCCGTACAAGATAAACTAGTGAAAATGCAGTAGAAGAGAGGCATGCAAAAGGACTTACTGAAACATGAAGATCAGTAACAAACATTTTTAAGCACTTCATTGTAAAAAATAAAAATAAAAAAACACCCAAATGTGTTTAAAACGTGTGCAGACTCATGATTACAGCTGTGCTGGGGCACATCTTAGAGAGAACACTGCTGCTTCCTCCCTCAGAGTCAGCCATCAAGGACTTAACGTCGACATAAATTCTTACTATATAAAAAAATCTGCTCTGAGTCTCTCTGGATTTTCCTGGAAGTGAAACACATGCTGGACGCTGCTGCTTCCTGTCGCTGTACGGGACGTACGTGCCTGGTAGTAGGTGCCCGGGCGTCCCCGAAACGCTCCGTCCTGTGGCCAGTCCCTGTCCTGCTGCAAACCGTCTAAGCGGGGTCCCGGACCAAGCACCAGAATCCTGTCTGCATCACATTCTCCACCAACAAACATCAAAAAGGTCTCACTGCTTCCAAGAAAGTTACACTCATCAGGAGTCACGGAACCACTTCCTTCAGGGGAGCCGGAGGAGCCGAGCCTTCCGTTGCCCCCAGCCTCTAAAACTGCGCCAAACATTTGGGAAAGACGGTGTGAGACACTGTATCTGACTTAGCTGAAGAATCGATAATTAGTGCCAAGATGGCTGTGGGTTCGTTGCTGCCCCTTTTCCATTTGCGGTAGGTTGGGAAACTTCTGGTTTTGTTGGGTGGGAGGGGCGTCTGTGCTCAGAAAGGACCCGCCCACCGACATCACTGTCTAGTGTAGTTTGCAGTCTGGCTTCTGTGGCTTGGAAACTCAACTGTCAAACCGAACTGCCAAGCAGTCAGTTTATCTTTTATGGCCAATTAGATGTGCAGGGAAACTGTTCGGGACAAAGATGTTTACAGGTGAAAATACCAGATGCTCAAATCGGATTTGAGCAGAAACTAAGGCGGACTTT